TAATTCCCATATGAATTCACTTAAGACTAGTTGCATGAATACTTTCAAGTACCTCAAGAAAGTGGTAACACCAAAAAAGTTTTATTCTTGCTGTCCTCATGTTACCATCTCAACAGCAATGCACAAATATTTTTGCAGGTTTGCTGTGAGCTGGATCAAGGAATTAAACTGAGTCAATATGAACCACTTATTTAGTTAGATCAGTTTCAAATCAGGGATGAATTTCACATTGAGCCACTTGGTGACCACACACATTCTTTCATTAGCATAAGGGAGAAGGATGCACCAAGGTATGTTCTTTGGGACTCATCTCTAATGACTGGAGTAATAAAGCAGTAAGAATTCCTGTGCAAAGTCATGTGTTCCTTTCAGAAAGCAGAGGAAACCACTTTACACCTAAGAGTCCATAGAAGGAAACTGGTGCACAGCAGCCAGTATGCTGAAAAATTCACACCTTGACTTACTGCACATAAACCTTTACATACAGAAAAAGCTCTGCAGCTCCACAGGTGCAAACATCAATTCTAGAAGGACTATAAACTGCTTTCTTCAGCCTATTGGAAAGGAGATTGAAGTTGTGTAAACATATATGACATAGCTTGTGGGTTCATGAAAAAAGAGGGATTTTTATGATTATGTACCACTGTGATACTTCATCTCAGTCTCTTACAAGTATTGCTGAATTAGGTCAAGATATTTTATCATCCTTAAACATAACACATAGGTTTGGACAGAAAAGCAGGTGATCTTCCTTTTCTTAGATTTTACTGCCTTAGAGGTCCTCACATCTGCTGACTAGCTTGTGGTACAAAAGCTAGGTTTGCTCCCTATACAGCAGCATTGAAGCAGCAGCCACAGCAAAAAAAAATAAATCTCTGCTCCTGAACCAACCAGCTTGCCTGTTTAGAGCAATTGTTAAAAACCATGCTTGGAAAGGTCTTGCCTAGCCAGACAAGAAAAATTTCCTTCCTTTGAAGTATGACTTAGAATTCCCCCGTTTCTTTTTCATATTTTGTGCTTTTTATACAGCACAATCACTTTGTTCCTATCATCCGAAACCAATTCACCTGACAGGTGCTTTCAAAACAATGAACAACTATTCCCACTTTCAGCAAGAGAAACAATTTTGATCATGAAGACTCATTCCTATCTTACTGGATATTTGTACTTACATAACAGGGACAATACATCAGCCCCAATTTCCACACAACTCCTGTAAGCACCTGTATGAATACCATAGTGAGTGACAGGTAGAATATACTCCTGGAATGGTGTTTATGTAAATGTAGGAGAGGAAATAGCAACAAAGATCCTGCAACTTCCTCCCATCCAGCTCTTCTGCTAATATTAGCATTTTAGATCCAGATTAAATTCCTGTTGTATCTTACTAAATAACCCACTAATAAAATAACTGAAATAAAATAAAATGACTGATCTAAGCCAACTGCAAAATATATATGAAGAACTTCTGCTGCAAACTTGTAAAACACGGTATATGATAGTTTAGCCTCTGGTTTTACAGAGGGTGGGGTTTTTTTCAAGGGCTTAAAAGGAGCTGACAATTCAAGAAATAAGAGGTACAATCTTACTGAGGCTGGCTCATCTTCAGTATATTCACAGATAGCCAGGTACATATACAGGTGGGACATTGTGTCTGCTAACACAATCCCACAATAAGTAGACAGGTAAACTGACTCTAGTGAAGCTACTGATCTTCCTTGTAAAAGACTTAACAGCATTTGTTGCAACGCTGCCATGTGAAACCATAAGAGGACAAACTCAAAAAACAGAGCTTACTGAAACTGAAATCAGCATCAATTTTATTTGCTGAAACCAACAATCAACATTATAATATTATGCAAGTTGGATGTGCTTTCTTCCCCCCCCAAAGCGGTTTTTCCTTCCTGTCTGTTGCAATTTACTTCTCAAACTGCTGTTGCTGTTTCTGCTCCTTTTAATGACTTGATGCTGTCACTTTATTCCACGTTCAAGGCTGTTGGCTCACTGCCATATATTAAACATTCCTAAAATTCATGCATGGATTAACTAGTAACCTAAAGTGGCCTGGATAATAGGCTTGATAGGATCATTTATGAATATGGAGGAAAGGAAGTAAGAACTAACACAGGGGAAATGTGGCATTAGCACATAGGAAGTTCATGGGAGGATTGTGATGTATGCATCCCACAGGGAAAGAAAAAACACCGATCTCAGTAAAAATTAAATGGAATAATATTCTTTATTCAAAACCAAACAAAAATGTCACATGACTCTAAAAAAAAAAAAAACCGACTCTCCCACAGAAAACACTTTTTCTCTCACATGCCTCCTTCATCCCTACCATTCTTCCTTACAGATTAACAGAGAGTATAAGATTGTGGGCAACTAATACCTTGTGGCTGTGAAGAAAGGCAGTTGCCGTGGAGTTGGTGAAGCTGATAATCACACTAACAAGATAGAGGGAGCTTATCATATCTACCTCCATTTCCCACCACTGATAAATATATCAGTGAGTCTTGGGGAACACCATTAGTGACCAGTCCCCAGCTGAATGTAACTCCATTCCCCACCACTCTCTGGGCCCAGCCATTCAGCCGGTTTTTTACCCAGGGAAGAGTGCACTCATTGAAGCTATGAGCAGACAGTTTCTCCAGGAGAAAGTTGTGTGAAATGGTGTCAAAGGCTTTACTGAAGTCCAAGCAGACAACATCCAGAGCTTTTCCCTCATCCACTAAGCGGGTCATCTTGCCACAGAAGGAAGTCAGGTTACTCAAGCAAATCCTTGGCAATCAAAAGCTGGGGCATACTATCCGATATTACATGAAGCAATATTGGACAATCAAAGAGAAGTTAGCACTGGTATGGAACTATGAACACAAGCCATCACATGTCCTGACATCAACAATTTTGATTTAAACCATCTCCGATGAGAACAAGAGCCTGAGTCAGTCTGTGAGCACATAAACAGGAGCAGCTCTAGACTCAGTGACAATGCAAAGTGCAAGAGTTGAGCAATATCTCTCATGATCCAAGTTACTGAACAAGCTGACAAGGTGCTTTTGTTGAAGTGGCCCAGCACAAATGTACTTATTATGTCATTTTAAGGCTATTTTAGTTGAGAATATTATTTAATGTTAAAATAACTCTACAGGTGTAAATTGGTTTTGTATTTTGCAAGCCCATTACCAGACCATTCTTTTGGTTTATCAGTTTCTTGGATTATATTTCATAAATTTTCTTCCTCTGATCTGGAATACTAAAATTCCCAACGGAAGGCATAATTAAATCTAGAAGCTGGATAATTTCTGCCATTAATAAACAACCTACCAGTAGCATATGTTACATAAAACTGGTTTGAGCTAGGAAATTTCAGAAATTACTTTGTAAAGATGACTACTTCCTGATGGGAAGAAGGAAGCTAAGCTGCATCATGATGGCACATTAAATGCCAAAGAGCATTCCAGGGAGAGCCCCAAAACTAACCCAGATGACTTACGTGATTCCATTTATCTGAAGTAAACACTGTTTTAGAATTAAGGAGTCTAAACTACAGATTAAAGAAAAAAAAAAGATTCACAAGTGCGATTTGATCTCTAAAACAGATTACATGTTTTTTTGTATGAACAAATGTAGTGTTTCAGTTTTATGTTTGAGTAGAGGCAGTTCAACAAGTTACTCTGACAGAAGACCCTGTGCGTGGATGGTTCCTGCAGAGGATGGCGTGGCAGTTTAATGAAGTGGTGGGGGCAGGACTGGACAATTCTGCCCTGCAAGGCTGCAAGTAGCTTGCTAGTACTACATGCATCTGTTTTATGTAAAGAACGTATATGGCTTACATTGAGTAAGTCTAAAATCACTAGAGATGACGGAAACTGCCAGATATTAATAGATCAGAAGAGGGAAACTATTAGAAAGGTGCCACTGTTTAGAGGATAAATGTTGTTTACCTAACAATGCACAAAAGTAAACGCTTTGTGACATTTAATTCACTGATATAGAACCAAACTGACAAGCTGAAAGACTCTGGTGGAGGATCCACAATTCCACATTCAAGGCAAATTGCTTAGTCAGCCTTAAGAGACATAAGCTTCTGCCAAGTAACTGACCAACAACTAGATGTAAAATAACACTTCTAATGGTGCACTGGTATTTTATGATCTTGATTTCTAATTTTTGTTTTACCATTGTATCATTAGGCACTGCTGCATTGCCTAAAAGATCCAGTAACAGAGCAGAGGCCTATCATGTCAGGGACCATACAAAAGCAGAATAAAAATACAGCTCATAATATAACAAGCTAGTATTCACCTGATCTCCACTTCTTGAAGTTTTTGTGTTTTGTTAAAGTCTTTGCTCAAACCTTTATAATGCTGATCCACAATTTTTATTTCATTGTATGCAATTCACTTTTTATTTAGCTGGGTTTCACATATATTATATTCCAAAAACATCTGAAAAATCTGTCTCGGTTATGCAAGACATTGAACTGTTATTTGATTTCTTTGTTAAGTCAACTTTGTACACACAGTATTTTGCTGACAAAAGCAATTTTACTTCACTCAGGATCTAAGCCAGGTTAGAGCATGCCAGTTCCAGTAATATTTACACTAAGCCTTTGCTACAGATTGGAGGGTGAGTGAGACATGACACAACTCATCTATGGAAAGTGATTTTCTGTTGACACCAGATCTTTTTCAACACTTTCTGAACTTTTCCGAACTATGGGTACAGCAATGTTATCAAAGCACTGGGATGAATCTTGGAAAAAGTGAATTACACAGCTAGTGTTTTAATGATTTGCCATCCTTCATCTGACTATTTACAACAGGATAGCCAATATCCATTTCCTTCCATCAACCTCAAGTTTTAGATAAGTTTTCCTTTTCCTATCATTAAAGAGAGAGTTGCAGCAATCCTAACCTGGTTTGTTACATAACATTTCCAGAGTCTTGTGCAATGTAAGCCTTCCCTTCATATTCATAACATTTCAAACTACCTACCTTGTGCATTAAGGTGCATGGTTTCCAGAGGTCCAATAAATGCGTATCGCATTCCCAATCCATCAGACATCACAAGGTCTAGATCAGTAGGAGATATTATGCCTTCCTAAGTAGCAAAAGCACAACAGGAAGGAAGACTGGTGAATGTTTGCTTTTAATACAAAATCTCCTTTTTTTGGTATATAACTAAAAAAATTAAAGAAGCAATAAAACCTAAGGCTAGAAACAGTAGTTAGCTTGCAAAAGGAAACAACTTTTGTCATTTTGTCATTCTGTTTGTCAGAAATGACCATCTATTATGCAAGTTTTCCTGTGGTTCAGTACTAGCAGTCATTCGTATCTCTAAGACTGCTGTACGTCATAGTCCAACTACACTTTGATACATTTTGACAGTGTTTAATTTATAAATTAATATACTTTTTCATACAATATGTACTATTTGTACGTGGTAGTTTGCCTGATGCTATTACTTTCAGTAATTAATGTACTAAAACTAAACTGAGCTGTTTATGTTAACCAATACCCTTTTTTTCATAGAAACTGTGGATCTGAGAAGAAAGCAAGCATTACATTCTTAATAGCACAAGACCAAAAGAGTTTATATCAAATCTAAGTACTGTACCAACCCTTTTAGACACAGGAGTTTTGGCTGAATGTTTCACCTCCCTTCATAGTTTCTGACTTTTGGATTTTTGAGCAGAGTCTCAATTAGAAGAACAGCAATGGGTACTAATCCTGAGGCCACCTGTGAAAAAGGCTGGGACTAAACACATAGGCAATGCAGTTGCCACTCTCTCCCACAAAACTCACTGAACATTCAACCTGCACAGCCTCAACCTGCCCAAGCTTCTTGAGTTCATTGCCAGCCTGAAAATTCAGAGCTGGCCAGGACACAGAGCATGCAAAATGAAGCATTTCTTGTGTTAAAAGTTGAGCACAGCTATTTCATCCACATGGTAGCACTTGCAAGAAGGCCAACACCTCCATCAGGCTAGGGCAAGCACAGGAAAACTTGTAAAAAATGAGTTACAGTTCATTACCTTAACGATAAACTTGAGAAGAATGCTATTTATGATGAGGTTGTTTTCCATCTACAAGAAAGATGTGAATTAACTAAAATTTGTTCTAACCACTTCCATCAGATAAAGCTTGGTTTCAAGAACCTGTCCTCTTTATTCCCAAAGACATTAAAATATTTCCTTCTGGTTAGGAAGGTGGAAGAGATGTTGAACTGCTTCTAATTTGCCTTCTCACCCTACCCTGAAGGACTCTCCCCACTCACTGTCTCTTCCTTAACAAGCCCCATTGAGCTGCAGAATACAAGTACATATGCTCATCTGCCTGGCCAAAGACAGTCAATCTTTTTCTGTAAAACTTCCCTCTCACAGGACCCTGTCCGAATGCCCCTTCATATCACACAGCCATCAGCTAGAGTTACTGGCATGCAGAACAACCCTCCTGACCTGTAGTAGACATTGACATCTGAGCTAGACATCTAGACTCTCTTTATAATCACTAGGGAGAAAAAGGAAATCATCATCCTAAAGAAGGCATCTAGAACAGGTAAGATAAGTTCTCTCCTAAAAGGGCCTAATTCTCCTCACTTACTGAAAGATGAGTAAGGAGCTTGGATGTCAATGTCTACACTGTAGACATCCCACCTTAAGTGAGCTGAATCTCACCCACAGTGTCTTCCTGTGTTCATAATCTACTACTACTTTAAATGTTATAACCAAGAAGCAACATAACTTCTTCAGCTGACCACAGACATCAAGTTTCATTATCTCAGGCTTAAACAAAGACTTTTCTAAGGCAACCTCAAGTCTCAACCTGTTAGTAGGCACTGCTTCTATCAAAAACAAGCCAGTCTGAATCCCTGTTGCAGATGACTTCAGAGCTCTACCTTGCAAAGGAAACACTAATGTAATTATTAAGATCTATGCACCATATATATGCAACACACAGTTCTGGTAACAACTTAATTAGACATAAAATGGCAGGGATAAGAAAGCATAATTTTCTTCAACTTAAAGCATAGGCATGGGAAAATACCTCATCCAGAGGCAGACAGAAAGGTCTGCATAAAGATAGGACTAAATGAAAACCTCAGACAGAATTGAGATTACAGACCAGCATCAGGGTAAGTAACACAGGCACCATATGTTCTGTGAAAGATTCTTTTTTCCCCTGACATGGCAACACAACTTCTCTGAACATCATCAGCAAAGTCAACAAAAGTGCTCTTCTGCTGGGAGTGCTTCATCCAAACAATGAGTTGTGCTGGTAAAGCTGTGCTTGATGAGTGGATTTTTTTTTTTTCTCCCGTGGTTGACACGGATTTGTGGACAAAGGATTAACCACAAATTCCAGACAAGCATTTGAACCACAGCAGCAGTTAAAAATGGTAAACATAACATTAAAAGAGTTAACAGGGTCTTGAAGCACTTCAGAATCACTGCAAATTAATTTTCAAATTAAAAACTTATTTATTTCTTTACACCATAGTCCGTAGGTTTGACACTGACATCTGAAGACCAGGTGCCCCCAGAATCATGAGATGAGGTCCTTTGCTCTCAGCCTTTTGACTATTGCTGGCATTTGATGTTTACAGCTGCTAAAAGGCAAAAGTCATTGCTACCAGAAGGAAAATCTGACAGAAACCTTCAGTTGAGGTATATAGTATTCTATACATGAGCTCAGCTTCTCCTTGTCACATAGACCCTCTTAAAGAAAAGCTTTTTCCTTTTTCTCTTCAGAAATTAAAACCACATGTAACAGTAACAAATTAGACCATCCTCCCCTAGGGAATAACCCTACTCCCACTTATGCTAAGGAGATCATAAACTGGTGGAACAATTCAGCAGGGTGGGTGCAAGGTCAGCAAGGTCTCTTCCACAAGGATTGGTGTTTATGCTAAGCACTAAACAAGAAAGAGTTCCAAATCAGTTTCATTAAGTCTAGGTGTGAAATAATCCTCCGAAGGAGATTTCTCATCCCAGATTACCCTTCTTGTAAGCCTTCGCCTCCAGCACTTCTTAGAGGGAAGAGGAAGTGTTTTAAGAGTTCACTAGAAGCTCTCACAGCTACAGAATTGCGATCTTAATTTAAAACAAATTCCACCAAAATCCTCAGTGATCCCAATGGCCAGTCAAACGAGAAAATCTAGTCTTGTTCAGAATCCTCCACACTTCTTATGACAAAATTTATATACCATAATCTCATTTTCCTGGAGATTTTAATCTCCAGTGATGTCACAGTATTGTCCTAATGAGCCTTAGGTATTTTGTTAGCACTTCTCCCTATGCAGGGGCCCTTTTCACCTTTACAAAAACCTGTGGTGGTTCTGCAGTCTCCACCTTTAGGCTCTGAACCAACATGCTTGGTCCTAATCAACAGCCTTTACATCTGTGAGTCACACCCACACTGCAACTTCTGTCACGGACTTGGTTTGTAATCATATTAAATGTAACATGGCCAAAACCCCCTCAATCTTATTCTTTCTAATTCTACCAATTCCTCATGTGCTTCTACTCACTCCAGTCTGTTTATAGAGTTACTTTGGACTTCGCTGGCTCCTGGACCAGATACTTCCTGTCTCCAAGTCTGCCACTGAATCTTCTGTATCCCCCAAATCTAATATTCTTTTGTTTTTGATTTCCACTAATATACGCATTATCTCTCAGCAGCACTTGTTATACCCTTGCCTTGACTATCACTTCAATCGAGTCCCTTCCATCCACACCCTGATAAGACCTTTTTCCAGTCCTGTCATTTTGAGCATATGACTTTTCTCCTAGATCCCTCTACTAGTTCCATCTCTTTCCATTTCATAATGTTTGAAAAACTTGTCCTACGCACTTCACACCTCCTTACTTTGCTGATCTTTATCTTCCTTCTTCCATGGCACCCTCATTCACCTCGCCCTGTAAGATGTAATGCCCACTTAGTATCGACACTATTTTTAACCCCATCCCTTTAAACTTCCCTTTATGATATTCCCCCTTTTATGGGGCCACTGTAACTAGATATTTAACCCTGTACCTTATCTCTGATCTTTTGGAGAGGTCCTCTGGATAACACTGTACTATAATTAATGGTGGATAATACCTGTAATATAATTAATAGCAAGGAATTTGAAATTTAAGAAGTCTTGCCAGCATTTGAGGACTGCAAAGCCAGTCACCTGATAAGGGAGAGGTACATAAATTAGGGATTGAAGCCAATGCACCTGATTGCTGTGAAAACAAACTAAAATGGATACAGCTGAACAATTTTATTTTCCAAAAGATTAAGAAAAAATGCAAGGGTGCCCATTCTCTCATCTTTTACAATGACTACAACATAAAAGAACACCCACTTTTAAAGAACAAAGCCCACACTAAGACAGTAAGCTTTTACAAAGGAAAATAGAGACTCTTAAGACACATTCTGAAAAACAGTTTTAACATGTTCTTAAAAGCAGCTGACTCCCAGATTGTATCAGGGCTAAAAAAAGTGCTGCATTCTCCTTGCTATCTCTGCTACTGTATTTTATGACCTCCTTGCACATTACAGACGATGGCTAGGAAAAAAGGTAAGATTCCACTCAGTAATCCACAGGTAAAGGACAGTCCTAGATATTGAGAGTAAGGTTTGAGACTTCTGAACTTAAGTGTTGGTGAAACTGTTTGATTGTTATTTTCTGGATTATGTCAACCAAAGTCTTACCTTCAGAACAAGACAACACTATTTAGCACTCTTTTGAACATAATCCTGAACTACTATAGAATATATTGGTACTGGTAAAAGTACAAAAGTAAGTGTCAGGAGTGCACAGTGTGCTTCCCAGGCAAATAAAGGCAGTAAGTCTCCACTCCAAGGAGTTATGAACAAAATCAGACACACCAGTGACCACTGTCAATGAAGACATGAGAAAGTAAATAGATGGTAAAAGAGAGTAACAGAGAAAGTGGTTTGAGATATTTTTCCTGTTATTTGCCCCAGGTTTTTCTAATGTTTCCAAACTCGTAATATCAAAATTTAGGGTTGAGAAGAGAGGAATAAGGATCTTCAACCTCAGCATCTCACAGTACATCTTCTACTCTCATCATTATCAGCTTTGCAACA